ATTGTAAGACATTTTTTATTCTATGTCTTTTACCCATTCTGATGGTGTAAACCTCTTTGGAAAAATCTTTTCTCAAATCTCTTTGATACTGTCCATTTGCAGATTTTATTCCATGTCCTCATTCCTAATCTTTCCATACTCATATGTATGTATTGGACCTTTTCTTTAAATGGTCTTTATTAGATTGTATACACGAGGTGACATGAAATGACACTACACTCTTTTTCTGATTTTAATTTGTTTTTCATAAATGGTAGTAGAGAAAATTGATTGCTGGACTAGGAATCAGCATTTACTTGACTCTGTTTCTGCACAAGTCACATGATTGCCCAGACCTCTGGAATTAAACACACACTAAACTGGTGGTTGAGTTGATTTTGGCTCATCGAGATTATGTGGAGTAGAGTTGCTGTTCGGTGCCCTGGACTTCAGGACTACTCATAGGCACCCTATGAACAATTGCTCTGAATCCTCTCTTACCCTCTGTCAGCCTCACAATCTCTGACACACTCAAGCCCATTGCTGCATTCACAGTGTCAATCCACCTGGCTGCAATCCTCCTGGCTGAGGACTTTCCTCTCCTTCGCTGTCGCTCCACCTTCCCAGGCATCATGTACCTTTCCAATGGATAACCTTTCCTAGAAACCTACCCAAAGTGTGTGAGATGAAGCTTCATCATCTTTGCCTCTGGCTGTACCTTTTCCAGGACATATCTCTATGTGCTTTTGGCAGCCCATGGGATATTCATCACTCTTATCCAATACCAAAGTTCAAAGGAATAATTTCTTCTGTCATCTTTCAGTCATTATCTAGCTCTCAGATGTATAATGAGTGACTAAAAAAGACCATGGTCTGAATCAGGTGCACCTTAGTCCTCAGTTGACATCATTGCTCCTCAATATTTTGAAGATGTCCCTGACTACAGACTTTTCCATCCCCTGATCTGACTGCTGGTACCACGTGTACAGATTGTGGTTCCAGGTAAGATGAAGTTGTTGACAGTCTCAATCCTTTCTCTATACTAATGTTGCCTATTGGTCCAGTGGTGAAGTTTTTTGTTTTCTTTATGTTGAGATGCAATCCATATTGAGGGTTGCAGTGTTTAGCCTTCTGCAGCAAGTGCTTCAAGTCCTCATTTCCAGAATGCAAGGTTGTATCATCAACATAACAAAGCTTATTGATAAGTCTTCCTCTAATCCTGAGGCAATATTTTTTTCTTTATAGAATCCAGCTTCTACAATAATTTTCTCAGCATACACAATAAATAGATATGGAGAAAGGATACAACTTTGACTCACATCTTTCAAATTTTAAACCAGGCAGTATTCCCTTGCTCTGTTTACATAATGATCTCTTTGTCTGGTTATAGGTTTTCCACAAGAACAATTAAGTGTTCTGGAATCCCCATTCTTGACTCAATGTTAGCCACGATGTGTTATTATTTACACAGCCAAATGCCTTTGTATAATCAAAAAGTACAAATAGGCATTCTTCTGGTATTATTTACTTTCAGCTGGAATACATCTACCAAACTACTCCATAGAGCTTTCTTTTCATAATTTTTACAAAAGTAGATCAACTGTTCTTTCTTTTGTAGCCATTTGGTGGGTTCAATCTGTAAACCTTCATGTTAGGAGCTTATCACAAGAAGTTTGCACAATCCAAAGACCCAAGTCTCTATAATTAAAGTTAATGTTATAAACTCTGTTACTGATTTATGTTTCCCCTACTTAAACAGCAAACAACAAAAAAGTTTGACTCATTATTATATAATTAACTTCTATTTTGTGATTTGAGGTAATTATTCTATATGTTGTGAATCCTAACCTCTTAAAAAAACCCCGAATAATATTAACCTCTTATGTTAATTTTCCATGAATTCCTGGGACCTTATTTTTTGCCAGTGCTTTCAGTACTCCTTGACCTATTTTCTTCATTACTATCAGTTTTATTCCTAAGCTACTATTAAAACGGTTCAATGTCGACCAATTCTTTTTGGTACAGTATCTCTGTGTATTCATTCCATCTTCTCTTGATGCTTCTTGCTTCATTCAATATTTTGTCCATACCATCATTCAATAGTGAAATCTGCAGCTTGGATTTATTCTTCAGTTCTTTCAATTGAGAAAATCTGAGAATCTTCATCTCTTTTGCTTTTCTTATTCCAGCTCTTTGTACATTTAAATATAACATTCAGCTTTGTCATCTGCTGCTCTTTGAAATTTTCTGTCCTGTTCTCTTATTGCAGCATTTATTTCTTTTGTTTTAACCTCTCTATGTCATAGGGGAATTATCAGAATTTCTTTTAACATTCTTTTTGCTCTTTCTTTTTTTGTAATAACCTTTTGCTTTCTTCATGGGTGGTATCTCTGATGTCATCTCACAACTCATCTGGTCTTCCGATGTTAGTATTCAATGTATCAAATCTATTCTTGAGATGGTTTTTAAATGCAGGTGGGATAGACTTAAATTCATATTTTGATTCTTGTAGAATTTTCATTTTCTTAACTTCAATTTTAACTTTCACATGATTAATTCATGGTCTGTTCACAGTCAACCCCTGGCCTTATTTTAACTATTGATGGTAGGCTTCTGAAGGATTGGAGTCAATCAGATTCCTATATAGCTTATCAAATGAGTCTCATGTGTATGACTGGTATTTATATGTAAAAAACAAACAAACTGTAATGAATAAATCATTTGTTGCACAAAATTCCATCATTTGATTTGTAGTCTGATTTCTGTTACCAAGTCCACATTTTCTAACCTCCAGTCCTGCTTTGTTCCCAACTTTTGAATTCCAGTCACCAATTATTATTAATGCATCTTGGTTACATGGAAGTATCAATTTAATAGAAATTTTAAATTTCTTCCTTTTTTGTTTTAGAGATTGACTTGCACATTTGAATAATGGTTGCATTAACAAGTCTTTGTATATTGTACAGTCACAGCATTCCACTTCAGCATAGATCTTAAAATGTTCTTTTTGACTACGAATGTAATACTATTCCTCCTTAATTTGCTTTTCCTTAATGCACAATAGGGAGCTCTGGTGGCCTAATAACATAATAGGTCATATGATTGCCTGATTATAAATGGCCACTATCAGTAGGTCTCAATTAATGCATAGTATATCCATTTTTATGCATTACATTTCATTTATTTTTACAACTTCCAAAATCATAGATTCACACATTTTACAAATAGTAATGATAACACGAAACTAGAGTGTAATAGGAAGAGGATGACAAGTTATGCCTAAAGTTTTGTTGTTCAAAGGCCTTCAAATGCTTTTTGTGAGACTATATAGCGGAAAAATAAGAGTTGACCTTGTTTACAACCTTCAATTCAGTAAATTATCCTGTTTGAGGATCCAACCACCCTATAGTATTATCAAATGACACAAATTAAAATATTTCTGGACCCATTTATAAACCCGCTTCAGGTTTCCAAGTCTCATTTAATTTATGGAGTTTCTTGACCAGAAAAAAATAAAATAAAAATAACATACTTTAAAGAACGAGTAACTAAAAAAAAATAGTGGCATGAGTAGGAGACACATTTACATGCAATTAGCAAACTGCATATGCACAGAACTATTTATATGAATGTCTTGGATGGCTTTGCTGCATAGTTAAGGCTTAAGGAAATATTTTAAGCTCTTCCATTTGCCTGGTGGCATTTGTAATGGTTAAAATATGAGCTATGGGCCCTTGAGTTGTTTCACAGATCTGCCCCTTCCTAGGTATGAGTCTTGGAAAATTCACTCAAACACTCAATCTGTTTACATAATAGAAGAATCAAATTTATTGCATTAGGCTGTTCTATGGATTATATGAGATCCTTTGGATAAAATATTTGCCTAGTAATGGTGGTTAAAAAAAGTTACTATCATCATTATTATAAAATTTATTAAATTTGGGGAACATTTTCATTTTAAGCATAGTCATTATCATATTGTGCATTGTTAATTTAGTTCATTTTTATAGTTCACAAAGCATTTTTATTTACATTTGACTTTAGAAGTTCTGTGAAGCCATTAGGGCAAATAGTTACTGTTTCCTCTATATTAAGAATGAGAAAATAGATAAGCAATGATGCTCAATCACTTAGCAAAGTGACCTCTCTTGTGAGTGGCAGTTGTTGTCATAGATGAACAGTAGTTAGGTAAAAATTATTCAGGTCCCTTAGCCCTAGGTCAAGGCTTTAATGTTTTCATTTATTTATTTATTTACAGTTTATCTATTGTTTTTATTTCTGAGCAAGTCACTAGAGTAAAAGTGGCTCATTATTAACCATATGGTGTCAAGTTGGATTTGCCATTGACTCATCTGCTAAATGCTCAGATCATTGAAATGTTTGGACACAGTGCAACAGACACTGTCATAGTCTGCTTTTTTGTTCTGTTGATTGAAGGATTTCTTTTCTTTCTCCCTACCTCTTTTAAGAACTCATGATTGGAGGCTGTGGGAGAAGCCTATAATCTTGCCAGCTCCTCTGTCAGCAGAATTTACCAACTTGCTGTAATTATTCCTCAGTATATTCCAGAAGAATGAAGAATGATCAGATTATTGTCTCTGTCCACAATGAATGTACAACCAGTTATTTGAAACAGGTCTGACTAAACCACCTCTGCTTGAGTTAATAAACTATGGGAATAAAACCTCTTTCTTCTCTACATATTTTAATATCCCTGTGAAAGAAAGTTGAGCATCTGTAGAAGATAGAGTGAATATTAATATGGTTGACAGTGAGAGAAAAGGAAAAATGAGAGAGATAGGCTAAAGCTTAGAAATTACTAGAGACAATGTGATTTTGTCCTGAAAGGCCGCATTTTGTGCCTGTCTGATCAATCTCAAGGCTTCATCATTAATCACACCTGATTTATTACACGGAAGTGCTGAAAGAAACTATCAGACTGATTATATGCCCCTTTGGATGTGTATGGCTAGGGTGAAAGTTATCAGTTGGAAATATACCAATTTTCTTCCTCTCTTTAGACACCAGAAGAACTAGAAGATGATTCTGACTTTGAGCAAGAAGACTATGATGTGCGTAGTCGGACCAGTGTGCAGACTGAGGATGACCAGCTGATCGCAGGGCAGAGCGCCAGGGTAAGTGGACATACAGGTGTGGCTTGGGGACAGGGGCTGCATTCACTAAAATGACTGACAAATTAGAGAAATTATGCTGAATTCCAGAGGCCTGTTTCCACAGCAATTCAGTGGTTAGAATTATGTTCTCTTGACTGGATTTTTTTTTTTAATTAATAGTGAATTTATTTCTTTTTCATTTCAGTGAACATCTACAGAGATTTTGGAATTCCATTCATTCATTGCTGCACCCCTCTCCCCGCCCCCCCCCCCTTCACCCCTCCCCCCCGTTTGCTTCTCTCCTTGAAAAGCAAAAGGAAAACTCCTTCATTGGTACACAATCCCCCCCCACGCACATCCCCTAACCACACCCCAACCCCAAATATAATCCACTCTGCAACTCTCATTCCGTACTCTCACGATAAACATAATGACCTAAAATATAATACTTTCCAACTATTCTCTCCCCCATAGACTTCAATGCAGTAAATATAATTCATCCAGTTTTTCTCAGTCTTACCCCCACCCCGATGTCAGCCTCATTCTACAACAGTGGCACCATACAGCATTTGTCCTTTTGTGACTGAGGTACCTAACTCAGCATAATGTCCTCCAGGGTCACCCATTTTGAATAATACTGCATGAGTTCCTTGTTTTTCAATGCCGCATAGTATTCCGTTGTGTGAATATACCACAGCTTCTCTACCTATTCGTTTATTGATGGGCACTTAGGTTGTTTCCTAATTCGTTGCTATTGTAAACAAAGCCGCGATAAACATGGGTATGCATATATCTACTTGGATGTCATTTATGGTCTCTTTAGGGTGTATTCCCAGAAGTGGAATTGCTGGGTCAAATGGTATCTCTACTTGCAACTTTTTGAGAAAGCGCCACATCGCTTTCCAGAGTGGTTGCACCATTTTCCACTCCCACCAACTGTGAATAAGAGTTCCAGTCTCTCCACAACCTCACCAGCTTTTGTTGCTTGCTGTTCTGTTAAATTTTGCTTGACTGGAATTTTTTAAAAAGCAATTGACATTTTATGTAACTATTGGAAACAGGAGTGGCATCTACTTCCTACAGAACATGGCTCCAGAAACTCTATGAACTTTGATAAATGTCGATTGCTGTAGAGGGGCTTCAGGCCTTTTGTTCATAGGGTCGCTATGAGTCTTGCTCAACTCGAAGGTAATCATCATCAACAACAACATATGTAAATATATTTTTGTAGGGTTTTTGTTTTGTTTTTAAAATATAACTTATAATATAATAAAGGAGCCCTGGTAGCCTAGCGGTAAGAAGCTGTACTACAATCCCAAAGGCATTGGATTCAAATCTGCCAGCTGCTCTGTGGGAGAAGATTTGACAATCTCCTCCCATGTTATTAAATGCCTCTGAAGTTCTGACGGAGGGTCAGGTATGAGTCTGTTCTGACTCGATGGTACACAAGAACATAGTTTAAAATAAGCATCACTGCTCTGATTCCATCTAGCTCATTCTTTCTGTTGCTTGAATTATAGTAGCTACAACATATCAAACTAATTGTGAATGATAGATTTAACTATATCATATCAAACTCACTGTGGCTGATGGATTTTATTAGAGCTTAAAGATTATGCTTAGATGGTTAAATAGCTGTAGGGATCCTGAAGTGCCCATTTTCAAATGCTATTTCACTCTATTTTCTAGGTTTTTAACAATAGGAGATTCAATGGGAAATGTGGAATCTGAAAATACTTTATTATTGACATCACTATTGCTTCATACCTCAGGCTAGGTTTTCTGAAAGGAAACTCTGATTTGTTTTGTCCTAACATCTTCCAATGGCTAAAGCAGTAACTAAGACATACCTATTGTGTGATGTTGTTGTGTGCCATCGAGTTGAAGCTGACTCATAGCTGACCCTCCAGTGGGTTTTCAGAGGCAGTAAACTGAACACGAGAAGCAGGAGAAGACCGTCTCTCTTTCTTCTGTGGGGCAGCTGGGGGATTTGATCTGTAATGTTCAAGCTGGATTTTAATCTATTGCCATATGATAGAACAAAAAGTTCCATATAGTCTTCACTTCCAAAGAAATTCCTCTATGGGAAATATCTTTTATAATAAAATTATCTTTACTCTCACCTTGAAAAAATTGCATATATGTATACTTCTGTTCAGTGTTATCAAGTTGAGTATGACTCTCTGAACAACAAATCGGAACTCTGTCCTATTTTATGCCTTCTTGCCAATCTCTGACAAACATGAGCCCATTATTTCAGTCACTATGTCAGTCCGTCAGATAGAAGGTCTTCCGAGCAATGTGTTAACTTAGACCAGGAAACAGAAAGTACCAATAAGAAAATCAACTTTGCTTGACATTCGGATGCTCTGTGATGCTCTCCATCAGCTCAAGAGACCAAAGGCTAATCCTGTGATTAGATTAGTGCACCTCCTAGAGCACAGATTCAAATACTCAAGACAGTGACAAGAGAGGAAAGACGATAAGTTTCTCTTCCTTCTAAAGTTCAGTTTCCTTTGTTAAGAACAATCAAATATAATACAGATGAGAAGTAGATATCCTAAGAATATCTTTATTTAACAAAGGTAATTAATAGGCATCATGAGTTTGAAGAACAGGTAGTTTTTTAGGATGAGCTTTGAAAAGCCCTAGAATGGCTTTAGAATGTCATAAAGTAGCAATGATAAAAAAAGATTACCTATATAGGGTCTCAGGAACGATGAAGGGGAAAGTAATGAAGGGAAACACAGAGTTGTTTGTTTTTCATTTGCTTTCATTTTGCTTAAGAAAGACACAGGCTTTACACATGCACTCACTTTGATTGCTTGTTGAATCTACTTCAACACTTAACAACACTATAGACAGAGTAGAATATCCCCACAGGCTTTCCAAGGTTGCAAACATTTAAGCAAGCAGATGATCACATCTATCACATCTGTCTTTGGATAGATGTGACACGGATGGTGTATTTGAACTGCTAATCCTTTGTCAGCAGCTGAGAGCATTAACTATTCATTCACAAGTGTTCCTTCAGAGATAAGGCTACTTCTTTTTAATTTTTACTTTAAGAACCAAATAAAACGTTTGATCTGGAATTTGTGAGAGAGATGAGAAGTGAGGAGTTGTGCATTCAAAAACTAGGTGAAATTAGAAAGGATATTAGTTTAAAATTAGGGTCTGTGGTAAACAGCCAATCAGAAGTTAGTATAAAGAATTTCTTTTTAAAAAAAGACTGACTGGGCTTATGGTGAGTCAAAAGAAACTTTGAACCTGATAACCTATTCCCTCCATATGTTTCATTCCCTAGTATTCTCACCTCATGATCAAATGATGCAGAATGTATAGAGGATGGACATTTGTAGGAGAAGTGTGATCCTTGAAACCTGAATATCAAAGATATGCTGGTTTTGATTTCTGAGAGATTTGATTTTTGAATTGTGAAAAATAGAGTGAAAATCATGCTCAAGGCAACATATTGTTTAATTCCTCTGTGTCTCTTTAATTATAAAAGAGAAATGGTAGAATTGCCTCACATAATTCTTTCACACATTTAATATTTAGAATTGTAAGCTTCTGTGTGCAATATCTGACTTATATTAAGTGTTTAATCCAGGATGTTGTTATTGTTGTGTACCTTCGAGTTGGAACCAACCCGTAGCTGACCAGTCTCCCCCACCCTGTGGCATTTTAAAGGCAGTTAGTTAAAAGAGAGGAGATTGCCCATCTTTCTCCCATAAGCACCTGGTGGATTGAAATGGAGTCCTCTGGGTTTCCCTACAACTCTTTATTACAAGGATAGCTCTGATAAATATATTGGGAGAGAAATTCCATCAGATCATATGCCTATAGTAGTAATGAGAAACTCAATTTTCCAGGCAGTCAGCTCATAGCAGACCTTCCAGTGAGTTTCTAAAGTTTTAAATTGCATGAGTGGAGACTGTCCATCTTTGTTCCTCAGAGTCACTGGTGAATTTGAACAGCCAGAGGCAACGTCTTGGATGAAAAGTGCAACTCAAAAGGGATTGCATCATCCAGAGCTCCCTGCTGATAATAGTAGAAATGTATTTAAATAGACTGCTCCCTATTTTGGAAATTCCTTTGAAAATTCATTTCACCCCTAAACATTTGAAAATTGAGGCGTTCATTAAGCATGGAGACTTTTAAAGCTGTGTCAGCTTAGTACTAATGTAGTCAATCAATCAAGTCAATTCATCTTCAAAATAAAGTAAAACTAATATTTTTATGTCAGTGAAAATGGGTGAGTTTAGGTTATTCGTCCAAACATTCAATTTACAATCAATATGATTGACTGACTGGAATTCAGTGTAGAAAGAGCCTGGATGTTGTTGTTGTTATGTGCCATTGAGTCGCCTACAACTCAAAGCAACCGTATGTACAATAACTATGAATTTTATCCTGTTCTGAGTCCATCTAGCTGTTTCTGATACACTTGCCCCTATTAGCCCAGACATTGTATCCATCCATCTCATCCATGATCTTCTCTCCTCCACCCTTCCAAGCATAATGTCTTTCTTCAAGGACTGGTGCCTCCTAGCAACATGCCCAAAGTATATGAGCTGGAGCTTCAAAATTTTTGCCTCCATAGAGCAACTTGGTTTCACCCTCTCTAGGAAAGACCTGTTAGTTCTCTTGACAGTTCATGATATGTTCAATATTCCTCTCCAGCACCAAAACTCAAAGTCTTCAATTCTTTTTCTGTTATCCATCATTGTCTAGTTCTCTGGTTCATAGCAAGTTATTCCAAGATGATTGTCTGGATCAGGTGCACCTTAGTCTCTAGGCTAACATCTTTGCACTTCAGCACATTGGAGAGGTCTTTGACAAAAGACAGAGTCACTATACCCAAAAGAATTTGCTGACACAGAAGAAAACAGCATTTGACCAAAAGTCAATGGTAATGAAGGAGGAAGTTCATGCTACTCTGAAGGAAGTGGCAAAAAACAAGGCCTCATGAATTGATGGAATATTAATTTATGTATTTTAGCAAATAAATGCTGCCC